TACATCTAGATCCTCGAATAAGATAATATGAACTTGAAGTTCATAAAAAGATAATTCATTTGCAATATATTGCAAAGCATGCCAAAACGCATTTGCTGACCCAAAGAAAGTAACTATATTCTCGTTGCAAATGCTCCTATTAAGTCCTAGAAGGACAAAGTCTATGGTACGCTTAAAGCATATAGACAAATCGGTTTCAAATAAACTTCTTGATAAAGAAGATGAGCAAATGATCAAAATGATCATAATAAAGGAGGCAAGTGATCTAGAAGATCACATGACATAACACTTCATAAAATCTCAGGAGAGATTCAGGTACCTGAAAATATGAATGAAGAGATCTCTATGTCATGTCTTTATGAAAATAAAGCTGGAACCAATATAAAATATTCGTCGACGACATCTATCATAGCGCTAAGTATAGATGAGGATCTTAAGTTTGTCAAATACAGACACAAAAATATTGGCCAAATAGAAGAGACACAATTCAAGTAGAATTGGTTTCATATGAAAGAAATGTTGTTTTGGACCTGCAGTTCAAATACTTGAAAGTATAAAGTCAATGATATGTGCAATCAGTTTTCGATATCTTATATGTCTAGCATGACATGAAAACTTGATATGCATCTAAAGTCTATTATATGGCTTATATGACTTAACAATTCCTGAAGGATTTAAATTGCTTAAAGCATATAGAATTCATGGTCATGAAGTACTATATCCTCAATGCAATTTGTGCACAAATGTATCTTGCTATAACTATATGCATGATAATATGATAGCAAGAGTTTTCACCTCTATGTGAAGATATTGAACTGACGATTCCAACAGGATCATATGAAGACAATCCATCTCTATCAAGAATGATGATTTCAAGGTGCAATATATTCATTCAAGTTAATATGGCTGATTTGTTTATCAAATATCTACCAAAGATTTTTTGAAGATGGTGCACAAGATTGGAATGCAAATGCTTAAGGATGTGAAGTGATGCTCTCATGAGGGGGAGTTAATACGCGTTGTACTCTTTTTCCCTTACAAGGTTTTGTCCCACTGGGTTTTCCTTGCAAGGTTTTTAACGAGGCAACCAAAAGGCGTATTATTAGATATGTGTACTCTTTTTCCTTTTCTAGAATTTTTTTCCCGCTGGGTTTTATTTTAGTTAAGGTTTTAACGAGGCACATTATCGGTTGAATAGACATTCAGGGGGAGTGTTATAAATAGAATTTTATTTATGGTGAATGTCTATATTTAGAGAGATTCTAGGGTTCATTACTTGGTGGCTAAGTCACCCTCTCCCTATAAATAGAGGGTTCTATTCTATTGTAATTCATCCAATATCAATAAGAATTCTCTCTACCTACTTTTCTATGCAATACTCTTCTTCTTCTTTTATTATTTCATAACAGAAATTGAGATGTTGTTATTTTTGTTGAACTGATAGGTGGCAATTAGGAGTGGCAAACGGGCGGGTCGGGTCAGATATGGTTCGGGTCGAAAACGGGTAATGAAAAACAGATCAATTATCCGACCCGACCCATATTTAATACGGATAAAAAACGGGTTAACCGGCGGATAATGTGGGTAACCATATTATCCATGAATTCTTGCATATGATCACTTTTGGGAGAATTCTTAGTCTTCCTAACTTGAGGAACCCCCAATTTGAGGCTTTACAAATGCAAAAGTTAGACTCATTGATTATCCATTGGTTACTCATTGGTTATCCATTTACTAAATGTGGATAATATGGTTCTTATCCATATTTGACCCATTTTTAAAAAGTTCATTATCCAACCCATTTTTTAGTGGATAATATGGGTGGTTAACTGTTTTCTTTTAACCATTTTGCCACCCCTAGTGGCAATATAGCTGACCCCGATTAGTTTGGCATTAAGGCGTAATTGTTGTTGTTGTTATAGTAAGATTGATACATGAATATTGCATGTTTACAGTAGGTTAAAGAATGCTGATAATGTTCTCAATTCTTGTTGTAGATTGAGTGGGACAGAACTAGGTGTAAAGGATTATAAGTTTTCTAAGTTGATGAAACACTCGGGATTGCAGTTTACTGAGGAGCAAATGCTGAGGTTAGTGGAAGGGCTTGGTGAAAAGGGACAGTGGAGACACGCATTGTCTGTTGTACACTGGGTTTTCAACTCTAAGGAACACAGACGCTGCAAGAGCAGGTACATATATTTTATATATGGTTTTGTTTTCAGAGTTACAGTGTTGTCAATTGTAAATCTTTCATGTATATATGTTGCTTCTATTTTCTTGAAAAAAGAGAAAACGATGTGTTTGGTTTATCTAGGTTTGTGTACACAAAACTGTTGGCAGTTCTGGGGAAAGCAAGGAGGCCTCATGAAGCTCTTCAAGTTTTCAATTTGATGAGAGTATATTCTAACTCTTATGTGTCAGCTCCTTCTTCAATATACTCATATGATGTGGTTGGAGAGAGTCTAACACTATGTGATGTTTAGGGAGATGCCCATATTTACCCTGATATAGCAGCCTACCATAGCGTGGCAGTTACACTTGGCCAAGCTGGTCTGCTCAAAAAGTTGATCAACCTCATTGACTGCATGAAGCAAAAACCTGAAAAGATAAAGTACATGCGGAAGAAGAACTGGGATCCTGTTCTTCAACCGGATCTTGTGGTATATAATGCTGTAAGTAATTGTTGTCCTTTCTATTTGTCTTTTTTCTTTTCTGATAATTAAATAGTGATATTTTTGGTACTTTGGAGGTCCCAATTTTGTTTTTTCTGTTCAATAATCTGCTCATATTGTGACTTCATTGGTCTTAACTAAATAGCTGCCAGGTTTTAAATGCTTGTGTACCATCCCGCCAGTGGAGGGGAGTGTTCTGGGCTTTTGAGCAGCTGAGAAAGAATGGTCTTAAGCCAAATGGGCCAAGCTATGGACTCGCGATGGAGGTAGTTCATACTTTTTCCCCCTTTTAGTTTAATAAAGTTGACTTTGTATTATTCACAGAGTCTAGCACTAAGAAAGTGCTACGACTTACAAAAATAATTAGGCTTTACGCCTTCAAAATGAAAAGAATCATTTATAATATCTGGAGGTGATCCATACTTTTGATACCAGTACGGAACAATTGATATTACAGTGATTGTTTGTTTATTCTCTTGCTTCACAATGAGCATTTGCATGTCTTGGTGACACAGTGAACTGCATATAGATTTTAGACTAGCATTATCAAACAACCATTCAGTAAGGATTCAGTTGGTAATTGCAACGTGCTATTTACCATCTAATGCTTGTTATTTATCTCCAAATAGTTATAGTAGCATTGTAAGTATGACAAGTGGTGGTGCACTTTTATTGAAAGGTAATGTTGCAATCTGGAAAATTTGACCTTGTCCATGAGTTTTTTGGAAAGATGAAGAGAAGTGGGGAAGCCCTAAAAGCTCTTAGTTATAAAGGTAAGATGGTTTTCTTTCCACTGTCGACCCCCCCCCCCCCCCAAACCCCCCCACCCTAAACCCCAAACCTATAAAAAGAAAAAGAAGATAACACAAAAAGGAGCACTCAAATCTTTTTAACTAAGAGATATATTGTGGCATTCCTTTAGTTCTTGTAAAAGCTTTCTGGGAAGAGGGGAGAGTCAATGAAGCCATTCAAGTGGTGAGGGAAATGGAACAAAGAGGAGTTGTTGGAAGCGCCTCAGTGTATTATGAGCTGGCTTGCTGCCTTTGCTACCATGGGATGTGGGAAGAAGCATTCTTGGAGGTATCCATACCCTTTTCACTTTGTCTGTTTTCCTTTTAATGGTTTTTATAGAGACTTCTTATGTTAGTGAAGCTTAAGTTATATAAATCATTATTTAGACTTTCTCAGAAGTCAGTTCCTGTGTTGCGTACTGCATAAAGAAGTTCCCTCGTCAGTACTATCACTTAATGTACAGCAGGACTAATGGTTAGATAGTTTTCCTGAAATGTAATTTCAGTGTTAGCACTGCTTTATGTTTTTGGAGGACACAAATTTGCATGCAGTGAAGCACATCTGTCAGGCGTTAATAAGGCACATTTGTCGAGGACTTGGACAATACTTATTGGGAGATGTTGGATTCTGATTGAAATCCATCAACAAGTTCATTTTAGCAATTTCATACCCCACATGTGGGATTATACTGGGTTGTTGTTGTTGTATGCATCCTCTCTTAAGCTTGATTCTTGGTATTTCTTCAAGCCCATTGATTGAGGAATGTAGGTATTTTCAGCTCTCGCCTTTGGAGCTAAGAGTGGTGTCATGATATGCTTATTTTTTAAAACGAAAAGTTGGTTATATTACTTGTACAGTAATTCATTGTGCACACATGCATATGTTCCTTTCATTTTATCTTTTGATCTTTAGTCATTACATGACTCAAAATTGTGTGGCCTTCAAGTATGCATCTTCTGCTGTGTGTCAGTTTATGCTCTCTCTCAATCTCATTGAAAAGGTGGCATAACATGCAAAATTATCTGCTGATATCCGAGAGTTCTCTCCTCTTTGTGCAAATGTGTCTGCGTGGTTCATCTTCTGCTGATCTTTTGATGCAAAAAGTCAATATCAGTCATTCAATTATTACCGCAGATTGAGAAGCTGAAAATGCTACGTCACACAAGACCTTTGGCGGTTACCTTTACTGGCATGATTTTGTCATCCATGGATGGTGGACACATTGATGGTTGCATATGTATATTTGAGCACAGTAAAAAGCATAGCGAACCTGACATAGGAATCATAAATGCCATGCTGAAGGTTTACGGCAAGAATGATATGTTCTATAAAGCTAAGGAATTATTTGAGTGGGCTAAGACAGAGGATCCTGGTCCTCAACTTTGCCAGGGTAATTTTAGTTGTTCTCGTAGCCCAGATGCATATACATACACCTCAATGCTTGAGGCCTCTGCTTGCTCTCTCCAGTGGGAATACTTTGAGTATGTGTACAAGGAGATGGCCTTAGCTGGGTATCAGCTTGATCAAAGTAGACACGCGTACCTCCTGGTGGAAGCATCAAAAGCTGGGAAGGTAAAATTTGAAAGACTGGTTATTTCTCTGGACTTGCTTTTGATATCTTTTAACACCAAACAGTAGACTAGCACCCTCCTTCCAGATAGAAAAAAATATAGCCGATGAGATCTACCTGGTCAAAATGCGTAGGCCTATAGGTTGATTCCACTTATTTCAACTATTTACCTGCAATTGAGCTATAACAGAAGAAAAAAGGTTGAGTGGAAATAATGATGAAATGCTTTTATAGTTGTGGATTTAGTTACTTTTCTTGAGTTGGTTGTGTTCCAGATGAGTCTCTGTTATTGGAGTTTTATCAAAGTTTCAGTTTCTTGTTGGAACTAGGTTAACAATCAGCCCCTGTTGTTTTGTATTATTCATTTCCTTTTATAAGCTTCTTCGTTCATGATGCAGGTGCATTTGCTAGAGCATGCCTTTGATGCAATACTGGAAGTTGGTCAAATACCTCATGCATCATTCTTCTTTGAGATTCTGTGTCAAGTCACCTGTCAACATGATTATGATAGAGCTGTTGCTCTAATTAAATCAATGGTTCATGCTCCATTTCGAGTCAGTGAACGACAGTGGATTGACCTATTTAACAACAATGGTGAAAGAATTAGCCATTCCAGTTTGAGAGGATTATTCGATGTGCTATGTAGTCAAGCCTTGGGATCAGACGCAACCATTGTAAACTTGTGTAGGGCCTTGGAATCTCTTTGCGGATCTCACACTTCAAGAGTGCTTTCAATCGATGAACCTGTTAAATTTGCAGCAGATGCCAGTGCTACGACAGCTGACAAGGATAGAAGTTTTTATACATGCAATGCTCCTGCTAATATAGATGAGTTTAACCTGCAGTATGTTCAAGCTGATGAAGGTGACTGTAGTGATGGAGCCTATGTCCATTCCTCTGATGCGAGAGAAAAAGGTGTCAATAGGGAGTTAGTTTCGGATATGTCACACTTAAATCAAAGAGAAGATGAGAGGGCTGGGACCAGCACAATCTCTGAGCTTTCTGATGAAGAACTAACATTTGATGACCAATTTGATTACTTGGATGATATAGATCAGTTAGGACTCGGGATATCTAGTGATGAAGATGACAACTCTTGCAAAACCAAGGTGCCCTCAGCACAAGAAATATTAGAGACATGGGAGGATATGAGGAAAAAAGATGCTACATTTTTCTCCTTTCAGTTGGGGGTGTGAGATTCTCTTTCACAGAAATTGCTCCTTCCTTGTGATTAGCCAAAGCCAACCAAATGATGCTGGAGACTGGCTGTGATAAAGGGCAGAAAGATTTATACGCCGTGGATTCTAAGTTGTAAATTTGGATTCTAACTTCTAAGTTATGTATTAAACTTATATATATATACTGTTTTTCGCGCGCACACACATATATATGAGGTTCGAGTGGGTAAACGCTCCAACATAAGCTAAAGAAACACCAACTATATGGTTATAGTGCATTTTATAATAAAAAATAACGTCTTAAGCATGTACTCTCTTAAGTCAAATTCTACACTTATTTCACCACTCATTGAGGATTAACTGAAATTCTCTCTGGTTAATCTGATTATAGATTTGTCTTTATTTTCAAATAAATTAGGGTGGATATACAGTGACAATATGAAACATGCTACAGATGTGTTGCCAGGTTAAAAATATGAAATAGTATAAGAAAAACTTAAATCAAAGAGTTACTGTTGCTTCACTCTTTAAAGCAATACGATATAATCAGTTAAAAAATAAGATGAATTATTTTTTTTAATTAGTATTAATATTTAAGAAGTAAAAAATGTAAACATCCTAAAATGAGAAGGAAAAAGAAACGGGGTTTTGGAAGAATTTTAAAGTGGAGAAAATCTCTTTAATACTTCAAGGTATCAAAGTACTCTTGACTAGCCAATTCGCTATTCGTCAACGTAAAAACGACACCGTTGTTCACTTCAGTCCTCCTTTCACCTTCCTCCCACTTCTCTTCCATTACTAAAACCCTAACACAAGTCTCTGCAATTGCTGGAAATGGCATCTCTAGTTTCAAAAACCTCAGTAACAAGGGGACTCATTTCTCGGATCCGTGCCCCATCAATAGCTCCCTCTCTATGCACCGCTACTGAAACCCGAACCCAGAAGCTGGAGCGGATCGCCGACCAACTTCTTGACCTGAATAAGCTCGAAAAACATGACTACGCCATTCTCTTCCGGCACAAAATGGGTCTTAATCGATATGGTCCTGCTGTTTCGGGCTTAGGCTCTTCTGGGCCTTCCTCTGGGCCAGCGGCTGCTGAAGCGAAGCCTGAAGAAAAAACCATCTTTGATGTAAAGCTCGAAAAGTTTGATGCAGCGGCTAAGATTAAGGTGATTAAGGAAATTAGGGCTTTTACTGATTTGGGCTTAAAGGAAGCTAAGGAGTTAGTGGAAAAAGCGCCAGCTGTGGTGAAAAAAGGAGTAACCAAAGATGAAGCTAATGCGATTATTGAAAAGCTCAAGGCAATTGGTGCTACAGCGGTATTAGAATGAAAATTTTCAATTTTGCCTTCATTTGCTATATTTTACATTGTTATTTTAATGGGAATGGAAATGGAAATTGTGATCCATTTTTTGATGAATTTTGGTTGCATAATTGCTAGGGATTTTACTAACAGTAATTTGCTGATACTCGTTTTTATGTGTCCCTTTTGCTGTTTATAGTTCCTGGCTTACTACTTCAATAAACTCGTGTTAGCTCATTTTGCTATGTGCCATAGAGCTGGTTGAAATTGTAATAACTTGCTTGATCCAATTTTGCTCCCATGTTACATGGATTTATTTACAAATGGCGTAGCAGAAGTGCGAATGTGTAAGTATACGATCTGGGTACATTCAGTTTTTTTCTTAATTTGTAGTGTATTTTAGAAAATCCATGCTAAGTACCCACATGCATGCCATACCTATACATTTGGATGCATCAAAGCAATTGTAGTGGTGTATGGTTATCTTCCACTGGCTTGTTCTGGAAATTGTACATTAATCATATGTTCCTGGTTTACCTCGTCCATCAATTGCTTAGTTTAGTTCATTTGGGATCTGCTATAGAGTTAGTTGAAATTGTAATAACTTGCTGAGATTATGGATGTTTACTGTTCTCTCTGATTGCAAGATACACTTCCTCTCTGGTCCTGTATTGGTTTAAGTTTAATGCCACTGGTTTGTTTTCGGGAGTTATAAGGTGATCATTTATTCTGTATAGCATGCTTTCCTTGGGATCATAACTGCAACGGCAGATGAATACCCGAATTTGAGGTGAACAGCCTTGATATATTATGATCTTCCATAGTATCTTTGGATTTCTCAATTGCTAGCATATTGTTGAAATCTTAGAAAGCTAAAGATGATTGGCTTTCTTATAGATCAGCATTCCAAACAAATACCATGAAGTTCTTCTCAAACTTGTGCGCGACTTTAGTAGTCAACCTGCAAGTGTACAAGATTCTCTTAGAAATTTGTTTACTTGCTCCTTATGATGAGTCTTCATTTGGTGGCCATCAGTATGCCTCTCCCCAAATTGAATGTGGGATACTCTTGATTAGCACTTAATATATTATTCTTCTTTGATTATTGCTTATCTGAGTGGCCCTACTTGTGTCTTGGATGCCTTAGTTCAGTTGTAGCCATTTTCTTTTGCATTCACAATCTGTCAATGTCTGTGTTTTCATGGAAAGGATTATTTTAACTAGAATGACTTGATAAATTACAAACTATTATCCCTTTATTAGGATAGAAGTTGCTTCTTTGAATGCAAACTCTTTGGGATCTACCCTCTAATATGTTCAGCATCTTTTGTGCAGTAGTTCTTTCATGACCTTTAGTTTAGCTCAAGTCTCTGTTTGTCATCTATGAACAATGTGACCGAGATATCACTGGTTTCTAAAGTAAATTCCAACCCATTTCTTGGTTTTTGGTATAAGTATTTTATTTCATGGGCAGATTTAAAACAGTTGCATAGTAATCAAAATCATATGTCCCTTTTAGAAGTGGACTTTTGCTTGCACTTGGTGTAGAATTGAAAACAGGAACTTAGCAGAGTAAGTACACGAGGTTTCAGGAGATTCAGGGTCCTTGACTCCCTGATAATACAGCAGCAAGTTTTAGGACATAATTTCTGAGTTTAAATCTTCATCTTCGTACTTGGTCGAGCCATCTCGCATTTTAATTTTTGATTTATTTGTTGGTCGCAATAAGAATGTAGGTTGATTTTCGTTTTGAGACAGTTGAAAAGGGGTGTGGCTATAGAAAGTTTTGAATCAAAAATTCCTCAAAAGTCCACATCAGCTCTTCGGGAAAGGAGATAGAAAATATGCACTTTACGTTCATATCTCGCATACACAAATTATTTTTAACCTTACCAATGGATGCATTGGCAAATGAACAGGGAGCCTGGCTAATTGACACGTATAGTAATACTAGAAAAGCTCGCTGGGTAGCCATCCTTCATTGCTATTAGTTCAGATCCAACGAATGCCAGAAATTGGTCTTCGCATTCGAAAGATATTAATGCACGATTATTTTGTGGAGATTAATCGATTTATGTGCAAGCGCTGCTGATAGTTAGACTCATTTACTGTCAAAAAACTAAAATGAACCAAGACTATAATTTTATATCCTCATAGCATCACCAAAAATTTAATAGGGTTCCATGGCCAGTCAACTAGCTGTCTGTACAGTTTGCACCCAAACAGACTACAAAAGAGGGTATATGTACAAAAATAAAAGCACCAACTTCTAGTGCTCTCTTGCCAATGACCCCAATGACATTCAATATCACCTGCCAATGGACACAATTATCCATATTTACAAATCTATTCACATATCTACAGTGATATTTAAGCTGGATAGATGTACACCCTAGCTGTTGCAATCCAGATCCATCTGCATAAGCAAAAAAAGAAATTGTAAAGAGGTGATAAGAATTCAAAATCTTATATGCAACCAAAGGATTAAGTTCCGAGCATAATGATATAGTGAAATATAAACAAACTTATGATATACTAGTTAGTATTAAATGAAAAACAAAAAGGATAGATTGTGAGACCACTGAAGGTGAGATAAAACAGTAGGCCACGTAATTCTTTACTTCATAGGCAACGTGATCAACCCCCTGCCCTCGCCCCACACCAAAAAAAAAAAAAAAGATGGTACTATGCAGGTAAATCACTCTTGGCAACAGAGCGAGTAACTAATAATTGGGTTACATTAGAAGGCAAAAGGTTGGCTTCATACTTGAAATGGAATACAGATTAGAAATCCAAAAGATATTTGAATATACAAGACCTCTTCCTTCATAGGACCAAAGCAAGTCCACTTTTGTTACTCCATCCATCATGTCTTATACATTAGCAAATCCAAACAGGAACTGAAATTGTGGTCATGGTTTGATCCCCATGGACGGTGACGTTATAAACCAACCCCAAGTAATTTGAAATTTAAGGCATAGTTGATTGACTCTTTGCTTAAGATGGAACTAAAATTGCTCGATTACCTTTTATTAACATTTAGAGAACATTAATGAAAAGGTAACTTAGAAGATAAGCTTACCACACACGGACAGTTCGAGGATTCAATGCCTTCAATGCTGCTTCAGCAAAGCACTGTGCCGCTTCTGCCTCTGCTTCAGCCTTCTCCGCATCTCTAGCTGCCCTTTCTGCCTCAGCAGTAGCAGCTTCTGCCTCTGCAACTGCTTGTGTAGCAGCTGCGGCAGCCTCTTCCGCGCTCATGCTCATCATTTGAGCTAACTCTGCATCAATTTGTGCTTTAGTAAGTATTCTAACTCCATTGTTTTCAAGCTTTGGGGAATCCTTCTGCTTCTCCTCCAGAAGCAATAGGAAATCGTTGCCCCTGGCATCAGATGATACTCCACCTGGTGAAATCCTGTACTGATGCTTCGCCTATCAATAAGAATACAAGCATTAATATCCAAAATTAACAATTAACAGAGCTTACCCATTGTGGGGCTATCAATTCACTGCTTGTCTGAACTCTAATCTTCTATAGAGACGCATAAATAAAAGGAAAAATGCACAAAAGCTCTCAGTTTCAGAAAGATAAATGCATTTACATAATAAATTTTCACAACTGTAACTTAAATCAAAGAATTTTACTCAGCAACCATGCTGAGCAACCTATTTCTGAACTGTTCAACATAAGGGACTTCATAATTCAGGGGAGGGTTCATAACAGAAAGAAAATGGTACCACAAACCAAACAAATTGATGCAGCCAAAGAATAATAAACTCCCAGTTGCCTTACCTCTCAGTGTTTCCGTCACTGAAACAGCTTGGCATGATGCTGCAGTGAAGATCAAGCTTAAGACCGAGAACAGACATGATACTATAGTCTTGACATAAAATAATATCACTTCCTCTAGTTAAGTTAGCAGTTTCCCATCTTCTTCATGACTCCACAGATTTCACACTAACCATTAACAATTAAATGTCTTGCGACAGTGGAATTCAACTAACTTATTAAATCTTTTGGGCCATGATTATCTCCTGACACCTACACCAACTCCATTCCCAACAGGGATAGAAGGACAAAAGTGGAACATTGATACCAAAAAAAAGAACACCAAAAGCAACACATAAATATAATGCAAGTTATACGTAGGTCCTCTGAGATTACTAGATGACAATCCTCTCAAAATAATCACACAACTATTATCTTAGAATTGTCCTCCTAATCACGAAGTAGCAATTAGTGATTTCAAAGCTATATCAAGATGGAATAGCCTATAAGCATCTGTTGATGTACAGCCAATGCACCTGACCTGAAGACCAAAAGAGGAGATTTTCATCACTTCCATTACCTTTATCAGTCTTCCGTTTTCAACCATCACCTTCAAATTTGCAACTAACAGCTTTTCAAAGTCTCGAGGTGCCACAAAGCGTTCCTTTAAGCAAAGAAAGATATGAAGTTACTGACACCTAAAAGTGTAAAGAATGCAGTAGCATTCACAAAGTCCATACCCTTGTTGAAATATCATGAAAGTCCAAAGTAACTGAGAGCAAAAGTAAAAAAATTAATTAAGGCTCTTCAACTTTAGGCAAACGAGCAACTTCCGACAACTTTCTATTTCTTTTTTCCCTTTGGAAAAGCTAAATCCATCTAACTTAAAAAATAAAGCATAAACCAATGCTCACATATGGGTGTAAGTGAAATAATTGGAAATTGGGTTAAGATGAAAAAACGAAAATTAAGGCCCCCAACAACCATTTGGCAAGCTCATTATCCACCAAATTGGATTGTGAATCCATGTCAGCAGAAGAAGAGGCAGTCATATTTAATGGATTAACTGAACCCAGTATCTTCAACATAGAATATATAATCCAGTAAATATGAATGTATCTGCCTCTGTTGACATGGATGCACAATCCAACTTGGTGGATAATGAGCTTGCCAATTGGTTGTTGGCGGTCTTAGTTTCCCTTTTATCATCTTAACCCAATTTCTGATTAATTCGCTTACACCCATATGTGACGGATAGTTTTATGCTTTATGTGTGTGTGTGTGTTTGCACGTGAGAGAAGAGAGGTAAAAGTATAGAAGTGTTAAATTCTGAACCCATAATAAAGTAAAATGTATTTGGTGCTAAGAACCTTAAAGGTTGAACCCATCAAATTTAAATCCTTCTCACATATGACATATCATTCATAGAACTCCATTCCACTTTCTATACCAATCTTTCTTCCCACCAGTACCTGGACTACCCCATAATTTACAAATCTTCATTCATTACAGGTTTGTTTGACGAAACAACATAAAGCCTAGCCAAGGGGAGAAGCTATGTTGCAATGAAGATGAATGCGCGATCGATATGGGTATGTTCAACTTCTGTAGGTATTTAGTATTTTATCGAGATCCATACAAAGTATCAACTATGATGTCATGCTCGTTGACACTAGTGTATTGGCAAATAAGAGATTAGGCAACATTAGAGAAAAGGAGATCTTTTCGTTTGTCCATTTGTCAAAGTTCTTGCCTTCTTGGAAAAATTAAAGGGTGTTTTGCTCCATTTTAGGTGTTTAAGGTGGATCTAGTTCAAAAGGAAAAAGGTGGACGATTGTTGGGAAAATGCTCAATTAGGCAGAATTAAAAGCACAGAAGTATTTCCCAGCAGATTGATAAAATAGTTTAAGGCGTACCAATAGAGACAACATTAATACAAATGCCTTAAAATAGTATTTAACAAGATTTATAAATTTTTCAAATCATTGAACTCTCTCCACTAAGCCTTATCCTATATTTGCACGTTATGTGGTAAAACAATGGAAGCAATACCTCGAGGTACGAAGAAATTGTTGTTCGACTAGACCCGCGTGGTTCCTTCAATCCAGCTATCACCTCCAATATAAGATCATCCAATCTACAATAAAAAATCATGCCCCAGAAAGGTCCATTCAAATTGCAATCTAAGCGCAGATACCTATTGTATTGCGTGAAAAAACTCATGTAAAAGATTAAATAATTAGAGTGGGGTCACTTTTATTTTTTTATTTTATATCTACATCACACCCCTCATGTGCGAATCTGATTCTTTTTCATAGGTCAAGCACATGAAAATAATATGTTAGATTTGTAGCAATCACCCCTCAAGTATGAACTATGAAGGGGAGCCTTGGCATATCTGGTAAAGAGTGTTGCCATGTGATCAAGAGGTCACGGATTTGAGCCGTTGAAACATCCTCTTGCAGAAATGCAGGGTGAGGCTGCGTACAATAGATCATTGTGGTCCGTCCTTCCCCGAACCCTGCGCATAGCGGGAACTTAGTGCACCGGGTTGCCCTTTTTTACCCCTCAAGTATGAATTAATTCTTTTATTAGGTCAAGCACAAAATATTTTCTTGTGCATGATGGTAAAACGCCGAATCAAGACTCTAATACTATGTCAAATTGTGAGAAATGCCTAATCTAAACATTAAAATGCTAAAGGTGGGACACTTTCAGCATTTATTTTACGTGTGTGACAATACTGAAGCAGTAAATTATTCTCAGAAGGTAGAAAACAAGGAGTCAAACACTACTACTAAATTATGACTTCATATGTTGATTGGACTTAATATGCAAAAATCGATCAGTAAAAGCAACATTGCAGGCTTGGTGATAATATTTTTTTCAAGGACAGCATGATCATTGAGTAGAAGAATAAAATTAGAAGAGGGCCTGTAACCAACCTAGATTGAACACCAAACAAGGATATGGAAAAGTAAAACGGAAAACGGGGTATAACAAAAAGACAAATGCTAATATGTAATCGTCAAGCAGTTTCAACATATTATAACTTTCTTGTTCTAAAGACAGACTATTCCCAAGACTTGAAGCATGGTGTTAACAAAAAGCAGTTTCAACATATTATAACTTTATGTTAACAAAAAGATTCTCACATTTGCATGTAAAATTCAATGGAACTGTTGAGTGTTGAGTTATAATGTTGGGTTACTCCACTTATTGTCTTAAGATTTTGAGTTAAAACTCAAATTCTTTAATATGGTACCGGAGCCAACTTTTGACGAGCCCCATTATCACACTTAACACATGTAAGCCTGCATTAAGCGTCACATGTGAACCCTAAAATTGGGTTACACGTGAGACAAGATGTTGAGTTACACTGTGGCTTACATCAAGTACAAGAGGACATCCAAAGGTATTTACAAAGATTTTGGGTTATATCACCGATGCTTAAAGGTTTTTGAGTTGAATGCTAAGATTCTTCCAAAAAAACAAATGACAAATTAAAAATGATAAAACAAGCTGAAACGTTAGGCCTAGAATCTACAGTAACAACCAGAACCTACTCTTATAATACCAAAACCACTTCTCTTACTTCTGATAAGCTTCCCAAACAGACAGGAGCCCATTTGATCTTCCAAAGGAACGTGAAACAAAATGTATATGAAGATAGATGCCATGCTTTTTCCGAGATAACAGTGTTATTTAATATGTAGATGCATTTAAAATCAATGGTTTGAAATATGGACTTAGTTGCAAAGTTCTCCCGATGAAATAGATGATGAAACATCAGGAACTAAAATGGCTTCCGCATTAAATACCTTACAAGTAAACATATTACTAACTCATAAAGTACTTTTGGTGAAAGAATGTTAAACTTTACATTCTCCAAAAGCAATGTCTCAAATTATATGCCAAGGTGGCTTTAGTAAAGGTTCATCTTAGTGATTTCACTTCCAAAAAAGTATGTGCAATATCTTCTTACTAGTGATGTCCGCATCAAGAAATCACATAAGAGTGGCTTGAATTTTTCTTGCAACAGCTCTTCAAGCACAATGATGAACTTTAAGACCATTTAGAAGGATCCAAGTTTAAAATATGAAACAGTTCAAGGAATGGATAGCATAATAACCTTGAAATCGCCTCCTTAGAACCAACATCCTCCACCTTTTCATAGGATGCTGCAAGAGATTTAGCACCAAGAACTTCTATACCATTCTCAAACATAGCGCTAACATGTAAGGCACTATCAACATGTTTCACTGTTGGCTGAATGCTTTTATACCCAGTCCTTCCTGGCTGCCGAGAACCCCGCCCGCTAGCCATAGCATGTAGATTTCTCCATTTATCCTGTCCAATCAAGACCAGGTCCATCAGAGCAACTTTACTTTGAGCATAACTATGGGAAAAACACAAATATTCCAGCTGGAGAAAGTATAAGCTTCCCCAATAGGTAACAAGCAACATAAGTTAACTGTGTTGTCCAATACCTTAATGTCCACATTTGAACGAGAACGCAACACACCAGAAAACTCTGGATCTTTGAGTATGGTGCTCCACTTGCCAACCCCATACTTAGCAACACCCAACTTAAGGGCAGCTTCTTCTTCTGATGTCCACTTCTGCTTTGGTGCACCCATAATAGGTTGATGCCTTTTTGACACTGACGCAGAATTGAGCTTCCCTACCTATAGAGCCATCTCACTTTTCAATAAACAAATAACTGAATGTGGCAAAAGAAAAGTAAATACCCAAGAATAAATGATCAATAAGAACATAAGCAGGGCAAACTATAATCTGAAATTATATGACAGAAGATATTCATTTGTTAACTGTTTCTGTACACGAGCGCATAGGAATATTCAGCAGCTACATGCTGTTCAAAAAAAAAAAAAAAAGTAACACCAGTCTAAAATTTCAGTATTAAAGAATAAAAAAGAAAGCAAAAAACTATGGAGGTGCTCATTTCAAGCTTAAAAGGAGCAAAGAGCCCAGGTAATATATGCATGTGGTTGAAAAAATGAATTGAATCACACCAGAAAGAAAATGTGGTGCAGAATTTTTGACGTGACAGAAATAACTGCTGGCCGAACAGCAGTTAACCCATTGTAATTCGTCGAGACCAGGATAAAAGATTGAATTTGAAACCCTAGACGCGAGAATGAATTTGAGACCGCGCCAAATTGCAACCAGCCTTCTCTTTTCTATCAATCGAATTACTTGCCGCGAAATATATCCCCACCGAACAGACAATGGAAAAAGGAAAATGTCATTTTCTTCTCGAAACCTTTTCGGCTACAAATATACATTTGGGGATGAATTTTTCTATTTTTTACAGCTATAATGATACTCCAGTTAGCGACGAAATATTAAACTGTTTATATATAGTTTTCATGTCACGTAAAAGGATCTACAAAATTTGATATGATAAAATAATTTAAAAAATTTCTGATAAAACAATTTACCCGTATTAGTTACTAGTTGTTATAAATATATTATATTATGGATGTTCATTTAGTAATCCGTTGTAAATAAGCTTCCTGAAGAAGCTTATCCATATGGGAATCCGCCGAAAATATATTTATTTATTTAGTACTCTATTGAAAATAAGCCTCCTGAAGAAGCTTATCATTTCGGTACGCCGTTATTGATAAATATTATCCCCGGTAGAAGATTATCTATATCTGATACAGTAGCAGTTTACAAGCAGCTTACAGAGCAGCTTGCAGTAGCAGCTTGCACTAGCAGCTTACACAGCAGCTTGCACTAGCAGCTTACACAGCAGCTTCCTTTCTTCTATAAATAGAGGAGATTTCAGTTCATTATGTACATGAGTTTTGAAAGTTGAATAATACATCAATCTCTCTCTATTCTTGTCTTCGGTTTCTTTACTTTAAAGTCTTTATTTTATAACACGTTATCAGCACGAGACTCTGCCATTTTGAGTACTTACTTCGAATTTAATTTCTATTTCAGTGTTGTTTGAAACTCAAAACGAGAAAGCAAAGAAAATCAAAGTCAACAATGGGGCTATTCTCTTATACTGTAGCCGGTGGCGGATTCATACTAATCGGTGCTTGGGAATCTTTAATCTCATCCTCCGTTGTCCTGAAAAATTCATCACCGTCTTCCACTTCCCAATCATTGACAGAGAAGCAAGCCCAAGATTCTGTTTTTTCTTCATTAATCACCTTTGTATCAATCTTAATCCTTTCAATTCTCTTTATTCCCAATTCCCTTTTATCCTTTTTCGATGCACTTAAATCTAAAGATCGAATTGGTTTAGTGCTTCAATTGCAGTCATGGCAGGTGATAATGAAGTTAACGCTGCTGAATCTAAAAGATTGATATATTAAGTGGAACTTGAGGTGATTAACTTTTCTTCTCAGATAGTAGTGATGTGGATATCACTTACGTCTGGAGTGGTCAAATTTGTGTAAAGTAATTTGAGCTTTTTACTTATATTTGATTTAATATCTTTAGCATCGCCTGCTTGGTTATGTGTTACATATACAATACCTATTTTGGTATTTGTTTTCATCCTTATTATCTTAATAGAGGATTACAAAGTGGATAACGTTGTTAGATCCACTTAAACTCCAGCAGAGTTTGCAAGAAATATACAACCACCAGAAGTGGTTATGTTTCGCATATCTCATTGTAACTAAATTTTGATAACCACCAGAAGTGGTTTATGCCCATGACCATCAGAAGTGATAATTTAGGCTTTCCATGGTTACAATTGAAGATAAGTTAGAGAAAATTTCTCTATAGTACATGCATGCCTCGATTTGCTCCTGAAGTAGCATTATCGTAAAGGAGCTTCTAAGACATCACACAATTTGTGTGATTAATGCGCGTTCAGATAATTATGTTTCATTCCCTGAAGGATGAGAACTTTGATAAATATTAATTAATTCCCAGAAGTGAATGTGACAATATTAATAAAGCTTGTGAATGTGAACACACTCTTGATTGTGAAGATATCACAACTCACCTCCAGAAGAGGTAATACGATTGAGAGAACATATCCTTAATCTTTTGTATTTCAAATTTTCCCCTGAAGTAGTAAACAATTGAAATTTCCTCCTGAAGCAGGCAAATATTATAAAGCGATGTAAATACCACAATTCACTCCTAAAGAGGTAGAATAACAAAGGATATAAAACCTTATTTTTTGTGGCATAAAGATCATTATCGCACGTACCCGTTGTACGTAAAATATCTTGGAAAATTTTATTAAATATCATTCCAAGGCAAAAGTATTCTTGTAGAATGCTTTCTACTACAACCACATCAGTACACTATGGTTAATTATTGAGTTCCCCAAGGAAATAACAACTCGTGTATCTTTCCCTGAAGGATGTAATGACTATGTGGTTGCCGCTTTGATATAAAATATTCAGATGTTAATGGTGTTTCTCCCTGAAGGAGACATTTGTCACAAAGTTGGTGGTAAAAATACTGAAATTCTTAATTTTATAAATTTAGAATTGTCTTTATATTGTTCATTTGATTATAATTTTCTCTCATGATACCAGAAGTGTTTGAGCAATATTTGATAGTACAAAATATATCAAAAACTCTTGAATAGCTAACTGTTTGTCTAGAAGACACATGATACAAGTAGTGTCTGAATAATATTTGATTGTGGAAAATAAATTGAAGGCTCCCGAAGAGCTTATATGCAAATTTATCATTCATATTATAGATTGTGGTCAAAATATATGTTATAGTAAACCCGAAGTTTACTAATACAACCTGCTATTATATTGAAACTACAAATGATTGGAAGATTGAAAATCTTCACGTTTCCACAATCACAGGGGGTAAAATAATATGTATATGAGAAGTTACCCACCTTATTCTTCAATTTGTACTACATCATGTATCATAGTAAACCAGAAGTTTACTAATGCAAAAATTTATGCCATAAGAGATAGCACATGTCATGATAAACTTGAAGTTTTCATTTGCCATTTTTAAATGAGTTATTTGAGAATTTAGATAAGCATATATTGAAGAACTAGAAGATTCTTCGAGAATTCTCTTGTGCTATTTGTTCTCATAATAAATTGGTTATACCGGCTAAAGTTGGGACTAAGACCCCTGATTCTAAAATATATAAAAGGTGAATATGGGCCCATTCACCTGTCATGTGAACCACTTATTGATGCATATATAAGATGGTTGCATGTATGTTTATTGTCAACCTGCAGTTTGGCATTTGAGATTGCTTTTCTCAATTAAGAGCATAACTTTCAGATTATGAAATCAAGATAGTTTATCTTGATAATGCTGGTTTATATCCAAGCTGGTTTAGCATTGAATGCCTCCTACTAATGGCTAAACCATTACTTATGAGAACAAAGTTTCATGTGTTGGTCTAAGATTTTCTAAATTGCATATAGCAGCACTTGTATGCATCAGACCAACAATATATGATAAGTCCTCCCCTCACAATTGGTTTAAGATCAGAAACCAAATATTTTTACTATCTTTTGATGTGTGGTATATGATTAATTTCTCTACCACAATACACAAAGATATATTTCCCAAAGAAGATTGGGAATATATGTTAGTTTTCTAACATTTGGGGGATAGAATAAACAGCTGAAAATATGAATCGAATTATCATTAATATGATCCTCACTTAGAAGATAATTCAAGTCAAATGTCAGAAGCATATGCTGATCCAAAATCAAATATCATATTTCAGTTGCAAATGCTCCTATTAAAATTTAAAGTCCCTGAAGGATAGAGTTTACTGTTCGCATGAAGCGTGGTAGACCAGTCAGTTCCAAAGGTAACAATCCTTGAAAAATGATAAGGAGCTAATGATCAAAATGATCATAACGAGGAGGAAATAAGCTCTAGAAGAGCCCACGACATAATATTTCATGAAACTCCAGAAGAAGTTTAGGTACATGAAAATAAAGAGAGTGATGAGATCTCAACAAGTTATGTCGCTTACGAACCGATACAAAGTGATCGTCGACGATATATTTGATACAATATAGTGCACAATACTGCAAAATATTGTTAGGATCGGACCAGTAGTCCAGACACCTGAAGATGTCATGCCATTTAAATACAAGGCATAACCTATATGACTCATTGATTAAGTCTAAATGAAGATCCCTGAAGGATTTAAAATGCTTGAAGTATATAATTCAAAGTCTCAGAAAATGTACTCGATCAAATTATAAAGATCTTTGTACGGTTTAAAGCAATCTGAACGTATATGGTATTATCGCCTCAGTGAATATTTGTTGAAAGAAAGTTACATATATGATGTTATTTGTTCACGTATTTAGAATTTGTTATACTTGCTGTTTATGTTGATGACATAAATCTTGTTGGAACTCCAGAAGAGCTCCAAAAGGCAATTGAATATCTTAAGAAAGAATTTGAGATGAAAGATCTTGGGAAGACAAAACTTTGTCTTGGTCTGCAAATTGAACATTTAGCAGACGGGATCTTTATCCATCAATATGCCTATACAGAAGGGTCTTAAAACGCTTTTACATGGACAAAGCGCACCCATTGAATACACCAATGGTTGTTCGATCACTTGAAGTGGATAAGTATTTGTTCCGAAGATAAGTATAAATAGAGGAGATTTCAGTTCATTATGTACATGAGTTTTTGAAAGTTGAATAATACATCAATCTCTCTCTCTCTATACTTGTCTTCGGTTTCTTTACTTTAAAGTCTTTATTTTATAACACTAGTTAATATGTAGTACATTAAAAAAGATTATTTGGTTCGAAGATAAGTTATTTTGGGATTAGTTATGGTGAAATTGGTTATAGTGAGATTAGTTTGTTGGTATTAGTATCCTGGTATTATTTCTTATTAATTGTTTAATACTTCCTCCGTTCATTTTTACTTGTCACTTTTAGCATATCAAGAGAAGACAATTTATTTTTTCTTGTTATACCCACAATATTAATTACTCATTTCAAATCATTTTTTCAAATCCATTAAAAATATGCATCAATTAATATGAGTATCAAATTAAATTATACACTTCATTTATTATTTCTTAAGGGGCGTGTAAAGTTCATAGTGGATAAGTAAAAGTGAACGGGGGAGTATATTGTATTAATCCTATGATTATCAATTTTACTGTTTATCCTAGGATAACTAATCATAGGATTACTATTCCACCCTCTAGCAGGTATAAATTATTCCAATACTATTTTTAATCCTGAAATAACTTATCTCTGAATTAGTAACCAAACAGGGCATAAGGCGGTACTAAATTTTTATTCGAAAATTATTTTTACTTATTCATCATACTAAACAACCCCTTAATAGTTCAATTGGTTGGCTACATAAACTTTCACCACGTTGACCTTAATAATCTCCACCCCAATTTCTCCTTTCTCCTGCCCCTATCTAATTAAAAAGAATTGAGCCGTGACAACTTTTAGCACGGAAGGAAAGCATATCAAATATGGCTTACATCATATTCGGGATGCTCGTCCTTCGATACGGTACGGTATTTAGATATTTCGGTACGGTATTTTGGGATATTTTTAAAAATAGCCAGATTTATAACTGGTCGTTCAAAAATAGCCCAATTTCAAAAGTAATCGAAATTTAGCCACTTTTTATGTAAAGATAAATCTGAGCGAAAACACTGCTCAAAACCCGAAAAATACTCGAGTATATTATGCTGGAGTTCCAGCATAAGTAAACTTGAACTCCAGCATATTATACTGGAGTTCCAGGATAGTATGCTGGAACTCCAGCATAATATGATGGAGTTCCAGCATAAATACACTAGAACTCCAGCATAATATACTGGAGTTCCAGCAAGTATAATGGTCCAGTATAATATATTGGAGTTTGGAGCACCAGTGCTCCAGTCTCCAGTATATTATACTGGAGCCAGCAAAGTATACCGGTCCAGCATAATATGCTGGAGTTCATACACAAGTGCACGAACTCCAGTATATTATGCTGGACCGGTCTCTATTGCAGCAAAACGGTGGCTATTTTTCATTGACTTGGTAAACGCTGGTTATTTTTGATTGACCAGTCCGAAAACTGGCTATACCGTGAAATTTTGGCCGGCATTTTCGGTATTCGGTTTCTCAAAATGCAATACCAATACCAATACCGTACCTAATTAAATTCGGTATGGTTTGGTTTTTCTCCTTTTGGTTTCGGTTTATTCGGTTTGGTAACTTCAGTTTATTCGGTTCGAATACTAACTAGTGCATAGAGTCATAGACTGTAATAATCTAAATTAACGTACTCAAAAGTACAAAACTAAAAACATTTGTTGACAAAAATTTTGTCCAAAACTAGCAAATACCAACTTAGAGAGAGAAAATTGTACATAAAAGAATAAATTTGATCATTAGAAATATCTTGTTACTTGCTTAGAGTTAATTGATGAACTTAGAAAATAAAGGAAAGTAAAATTTTAGATTTTTATATTTATGTTATAACTAATAATATGTATATTGTGTAATATAATATATATTTCGGTGTATCGGTATTTCGATATTTCATTTTAAAATACCAAATACCATATCTAATACCAATATTTTTTAAAACTTAAACCAAATACCATAACAAATACCAAAATATCGAACACCAAATACCAAAATTTTCGATTTTGGTACGGTGAGTCGGTATTTACCAAATTATGCACAGCCCTACATCACATACATTGATAACGTAAAACAATTCAGAATTTACACTATCACAATAGTTCAATCAATTATAGCAGATTACTTATCTTCTTTATCAGTTACTTATGTAGTTGATGGTTAACAATTCTATACATTGACCGCATACGAAAATATTAGAGTTCCAAAAGTTGTCGAAAAAAATATTCTGGGGAACAAACAAGGTCAATAGAAAAGTTTCTGCTCCCCAGGAAAGTCAACACCAGAGACTGATCCTAAGAAAACAACTGCACTATTAGAAGCTCTGGGAAAGGCTAACAAATTCTTTATCACTTTTGAGATATTGGTTGAAGAGATGTTGCATCCCCTGTGCACTGGCTCAATAACCAGTTTCTCAAGATTATTTGCATGCTCAAGCAAAGACTTCAAGAATTCTGTAAGGAACTCTGTTGTGTCAGCTCTGCGATGACAACTACAACAGGTTTAAGTAACCTCTGCATTCTTCAAATTCTGTAAGGAGCCTTCGAATATGTTTTCATGCAAGGAGAGGGAATTGTCTTCGTCCAATTCATCCGAGGCTAAGAAATCGCCCTAAGGATACAGAAGAACCACAAATCAGGTTAAGTAGTATGCATTGTTATAGTACTGAAATTGAGGAACACACACACACACACAATCTGAGATGACATATAAACAACATTGTCGTCAACAATAGAGAAGCAAATGAAAATTTTCAGAAAATATTTTTTTATTTAGAACGTGTATAATAATGAGATAGACCACTGATAACATTTTAGGGGAAGTACTAGAATGTTGCAGACTTGCAGTTGAAGTTGGTGCAATCGTCTTAAGATAATGATAATGTGTAATGATAACCTCCAACCAAAGCTTTTTTAAGTTCAGAATAATATCACACATACACTATCTCTTTGTTTCCAATGCCTGTTTCAGTGGCAAAAAGGTTGACAAACTTCGGAGAGATTTCTTATGGCAAGGAAGAAGAACACCGAACCTTCAACTTGGTAAGATGGGAAACAGTCACCACAGATAAGGAGGCAGGTGGACTTGGAGTGAAGAACTTTAAGATACAGAGGAACAGCTTACTGCGGAGATCTGTGGTTACGGTAAAATATGGACTCCTATCCCTTGAATCACTAGACAGGTTCAGCAACACAGTCCCTATGGTATATGGAGGCAAATTAGAGCTCACTGGAATTCTTTTTTGGCCAACACCTCTTTCAAGTTGGAACTAAGAAGAAGACAAGGTTCTGGGAGGATGTTAGGCTAGGCCAAACACCGCTGAAGAAGAAGTATCCATCTCTTTACAGTACTGCACGTATGCAGGATGCTACAGTTTCAGAAATGTGGTCTGAGCAGGGGTGGAATTTGGTGTCAGACGCTTCATAAATGATCAGGAATTTGACCTTGTCCGCACTTCTGCTTCAACGGCACAGCTTTCATCAGCTCGAATGGTTACCTCTTTATCTTCCAGAGCTGATTCTCTTTTGTGGAAACAAAATGCAGAAGGTAACTTCACGATCAAAGACTGCTATCAATCTATCTAGGAGATCTTCTTTCTTGTTTTTCGGTACAATCTAGGAGATCTTCTGGCAGCATCACATTCTGGCCTTGGAAATGCATTTGGAAGCAGTGTGTGGTTTGTCAAGAGAGCAAACCTCTCTCATCGTTAACCGGTAAGAATCTCTCCCCCTCTCCATCTCCCTCTCCTCCACTCCCTCCCCCCCCCCCCTCCTCTCCCCCTTTGTCTTGTGTCATTGATCATATGAATAGTGCATATGTATGTAGATCTTCTTTTTTTGGTAGAATCTAGGAGATCTTCTGGCAGCATCACATTTTGGCCTTGGAAATGCATTTGGAAGCAGTGTGTGGTTGGTCGAGAGAGCAAACCTCTCTCATCGTTAACCGGTAAGAATATCTCTCTCTCTCTCTCTCTCTCTCTCCCTTTGTCTTGTGTCATTGATCATATGAATAGTGCATATGTATGTATATGTTCACACCAATGATGAGTGATTACTCAATTGTCAACTCTTTATTCACCAAAGGCCTTCACCAAAAGAGTACCTATATATGTAAGTCCCTCTTCTCCTTCTCACTCACTCGATACTAGTGATGAGTCACCTTTTGGCCATTGATTTGTTTGGGTGCGTTTGGCTCATCTAAAAGCTCCTATTTAAAAAAAAAAATTCTCAACTAGCCGCTCTACGCTTTACTTTTATTACCATTGCTTGCCTTTTAGCCAAGAGAAGCGCTTTACCTTTTTATGTCTGCTTTACTGCTAGAGCTATACATATAAAAGAGACAATTTTATATCTGCACCATTGTCTCTATCTGCATTATAGTCTATGGGCTCTCAACTTTGTATTGTTTTAGGTCTTCCAGATATTCAGGGGTGTCTAGAATGGCACCTTTTCTTTCTGTTGTTATATCTTTATCTTCTGTTTTTCTTAGTTTGCTGACTTTGCTGTGTCTACTTGAGTTCTTTTCTTTATTTTTTTTATTTTATAATGCAGGCACATTTCTTAGTATGTTGTTTTTAAGATATTGTACTCACTGATACAAGTAGAGATTTTCATATTCAGAAGAGAGGAGCTATATTCATATTCAGTATAAAAAAGACTAGAGATTTCCTGGGCTGAAAACTGACCTCAATAAACCAGCATGGGACCATTAGCTCATTAAGCACAACGTATACTGCCAAGAGATGTTGTACGGTTTTGTCATATACAGCATCGACAGAGAAAGTAAGATCAGCATGGACCAAAGACGAAAGGTCCCCAAGCTTAACTTCCGCATGATCAAAATGCCTGAAAACTTTATATGTTGAACATATGGAGCAACTATTTCAAAGGAACAATCACGTCCAAGTGAACCCCAACCTTTGTCAGGATGTTTGTAATCGATCAATTGCAATCTCCTACATTTGGGAGAAGTTATATGCAAACGATGAAAACCACAAAATTCTTGTAGCTCCAAAGATTCCAGCTGAGGACAACTTGATGCTATTTGTTCATCCCCGAGAAACAAATATGTTAGCGTTAAACTCTTTAGGAATGTCCAATTTAGTACACATTCTTCTGGCATTCTGCAATTCAATTAATATAATTTAAGAATCGATGAGCTGCTGCAGAGAGCTTGTGGCAAGACATAGGGTTCTCGATTATGATACCATATTTCCAGGTCAACATCCTCCAGCTTTTTCTTCAAAGCAATTTCAAGCCACTTGTCAATTTTGGAACTATAAGACACAACAAAGCCAAATTGGAAATATAGACTGAACTTTTTAATTTTAGAGCAGCAAAGGAGAGGTAGTACTTTGTCCGTGAAGGAAATGAACTTGTCCACTTCCTAGCTATCAGACCACTTGGTCTTCCTGCTGTCAAAAATAACGTTGTCGATAGAGGTATTGCCAACGTTTACAGAGAATAGTTGTTTTGAAGGCATCTGTTACGGGCATTAGAGAAGAATTTGGACAATTAGAGAGTCAGGCAACTCACTGATCCAATCAATGCCAGTTTCTGCACATTCTGCCTGAATCTTCATTTTTTTCTGAGGTTGTTTTTCAAAAAATTGGCATTTAATCATCACTACAACTGCCAGGAAATTGGTCTTGCTCACCCATGGTTGTCACACTACTTTTCCTTTTGAAGTTCACTACAAGAATGAACGAGACCTATATATACTAATCCGCTACTGAGCACATACTGTGCCGCAATTAGGGCTAAGAAGAGGGGAAAATGATCGGTCAAACTGAGAATTCGGGGGGTCAAGTTTTTAGCAGTTCTCTATTCCGTCTAAATCAGTCCCATAGTTGATATTTATTTAGTTTAGGCCCACAACTTTATATCATTTTAGTTTGTATGATTTTTTTTTCGAGTTAATTTTACCTATGGTCATTGAACTTTTGTGTTTGTTACTCAAAAGTTACTTTTCTTTTTTTTGTTACGTAAAAATTATTTAACTTTATGTTCATTACACAAAAGTCACTTTTCTTTCTTTTGTTACACAAAATCATTTTACTTTGCTCTAGTGATCACAAAGGTCACATTTTTACTTGAAAAGTCTTTTATGCCATTGATATTATATAAATCTTCATATTTATGTAATACCTTCTATATTATATACTATATAATATATTTTTATCTATGTATTTTATTTATAAATAAAATAACTTAATATTATTTTATTTATTATTTTTATAATATATAATTTAGACAAGGTGGGTTGCTCTGGTGGTAAGCACCCCTACTTCCAACCAAGATGTTGTGAGTTCGAGCCACCCCAAGAGCAAGGTGGGGAGTTCTTAGAGGGAAGGATGTCGGGGGTCTATTGGAAACAGCCTCTCTACCCCAGGGTAGAGGTAAGATCTGCGTACACACTACCCTCCCCAGAGCCCACTGGTGGGATTATACTGGTTTTTTTTTTGTTGTTGTTGTTGTTGTATATTCGAATATTTAATTTTTTTTAACGTTAATTTTCAAGATATATTAGTCGCGTTATAAAATAATTTTTTTCAGCAATTCTTTTTTTTTTTTGAATCTAATTGACCGACCAAAGTTGGTCGGTAATTTTCGACTAGCATTGGTCGGTATGACCTTCCGACCTTCAAAATACCGACCACACGTTAATGGTCGCGTTTTGGACTGTTATTGACCATTACCGACCAGCTTTGGTCGGTGTTTTTATGACGGGTTTTTCCGAATTTCTAGTAGTGTAATTTCCCAAATAACCAATTGGCGCAGGTAAATCCCCAAGAAAATATCCCCAGTTAAATTCGCATGTAGAGTTACCTAGAGATTTTCCTTCAGATTAATATATAAGTTTTTCCTCATTTCTTTGTTTGTTTACCTACGAATTTTCTCACGAAAATGTACTTGCCGATTTATTTCTCTACTAATATATATTAAAGTTACTGACGAATTTAATAACGCTACTAATATATCTTGAAAATTAACGTTAAGAAAAAAATTAAATATACGAATATATTATAAAAATAATAAATAAAATAATATTAAGTTATTTTATTTATAAATAAAATACATAGGTAAAAATATATTATATAGTATATAATATAGAAGGTATTACATAAATATGAAGGTTTATATAATATCAAGGGCATAATAGACTTTTTAAGTAAAAATGTGACTTTTGTGATAACTAGAGCAAAGTAAAATGATTTTTGTGTAACAAAAGAAAGAAAAGTGACTTTTGTGTAATGAACACAAAGTTAAATGATTTTTACGTAACAAAAAAAAAAAGTAACTTTTGGTTAACAAACCCAAAAGTTCAATGACCATGGATAAAAATTAACTTTTTTTTTTCTGGCGTATGATTATTATCCATAGTCTAGAATTATGGATACGTGTCAGCTATATACAAAATCTGTTGGGGTATAATTCAGCAGCCACTCTGGGTCTTGTGAGCATAAATATGGGTGTTGCATGCTTAGAAGAAGATCGAATAAATTAAATCAGTTTTTCTAAATATTTAAATCAGACTAAACCAAAAACTGTCAAAATTTAATGGTTTTGGCTTTAGTCGATTTTTGTCGAATATTTTGTTATTTGATTTTCTCAGTGTTACAAAATTATCTTTCGATCAGTAAACAATACTAAGAGGAACTGCATATAAAAGAGATAGGCTATTGCAATGGGGAATCATCACAAATAAGAATTGTCCTTTGTATGGCATAGGAGCTGAAAGCATATCTCGCTTATTTTTGGACTGTAGTATCTCTGCACAGCTTTGGGAGAAGCTCCTACAATGGCAAGGGATTCCTACAGGCTACAAGGCAGGATCAGGAGTGGCAAGAGGAACCAAAATAAGCACTGAACCAAGCTAGAGGCAGTAATGCATCTGCATAAGTGTACAAGATGGTCTTGGCAGTATGTGTTTATCACATTTGGATTGAAAGGAACCAAAGACTTTTTCAAAAAAAAAAAATCTAATGCGAGAACCATTATTAGAAGAATCATTCAAGAGGTTCTCTATAGAGGCTCCCTACAGAAGAATCACATTTGGATTAAAAGGAACCAAAGACTTTTTCAAAAAATAAAAAATAAAAAAAAATAATGCGAGAACCATTATTAGAAGAATCATTCAAGAGGTTTTCTATAGAGGCTCCCTACAGAAGAGGCTAGCAAGACGATTGCACCAATTGAAGATGTTCATCTACAGTTTTGCTTTCACTTCTTTCACGTACATAATGCTATTTGGTAATAAAATTTCTTTTATTTACCAAAAAAAAAAAAAAAGTTGCAGCAGATACTATAAACCTTTATTTGTAAGTAATTTGATGATGGTTTAACGATTCTTTACACTAACATAATTGAACGAAATATTCTTTTATTAGAGTTTCAAACATAATTGAACGAAATATTCTGGGGAACAAATATAAAACTTTCCACCCCCCGTGAAAAAAGTCAACACTGGATGCTTGTCCTAATGAAACAACCGCATTATTAGAGGCTCTTGGAAAAGCTAACAAGTTCTCTATAACTATTGAGAAATTAGTTGGACAGATGTTGCATATCCTGCTCACTGGGGCTATAACCAGTTTCTCCATATTTACTGCACGCTCAAGCAGCGACGTCAAGAATTGAGGCCAGGGAGCTCTGTTCTGTCACCTTCCTCGATACAACTACTATAAAAAGCTGAAATAACCTTTGCATTCTTCAGATTCTGTAAGGAACCTTTGAATATGTTCTCTTGCAAGTAGCAGTAGTTGTCTCTCAACAAATCACTGTCTCTATGCCAGTAATCTTTCAAAGTGCAATACTAAAGATACAGAAGAACCACAAATCAGGTAAAATGTTATGCTTAACATCCTTAAGCAGATGTTTTGGATTTCATAATGCAATGTCATACTTGAAATTAACAAATATGCACACTCGCAATCTGAAACGACATATAGACAACATCGTAGTCAGCAATAGACAAGCAAATGAAAATGCTTTTCAGAGTAAAAATTGGTATACAAGAATTTTTCTTTAGGGGAATTAATAACTCTTTATGAGACACATTTTGTGAGGCCGTGTATAACAATAAGGAAAAATCGCTGATAAAAATTTAGAGGAAGTACCAAAATTTAGAGGAAATACTTCAATGCATTTGAAGCTGTAGGAGATTAACAGGCGGGTACATGTAATATTTTATGCCGGAAAATCAGAACTAACTATTCATTGTAGATGACCAAAAAAAAAAACTATTCATTGTAGAAGGAAGAGTCTCCAGTGCAGCTACACTTTGGGTATGACAAGAAGTAGGTTCAGCATTGATGTTGCGCATATTTTCATATGTTTCGATATTAATTTACCCACATTTTTACCGCACTTTCGTTGTATTTGATATTGAATATGTCCAACTTAACTTGATTATGGAGTTTTATACTTATTTGGGTGGTAATGGATAATGTAGGTACTTTGAAGATGAAATTTGGGAGCAAAGTAAATATTCTGAATTGTGTTTTATACACTTTATTTTCTGGAAGAACACAAATGACATTACAAAAATAATTTTGTGTGTGTGAATTTTGTTGAAAAAAATGAAGAATCATGAGTATAAAATTTTCTAATAGGACAATTACATAGAGGATGGGAACTATTTGATGAAACATAGTAATTTTTTTTCTTTTTTGGAGAATGGTAACAGTTGTATTAAAATCTCGGCACAAAGTTTGTGCTGATAATCAATTCTAGATTCCAAAAGATATGAAAACCTATCCCTCCTCTTCCTACAAGGATTCTTTGATGTAGTATGGATTCTACATCATTTACATAATTTTCTTTACATAGCAGAATACAAGGGGTGTCATAATTACCTCTTGACCAAACAACAGTAGTAATTATGCCTCAATCCAAAGCTAGTTGGAATCGACGGTATGAGTTCTTAATATCATAGATGCTCTGTTTGGGTCCATAATATTTCATTATCTAACACTAGGGATTCTCTAATATACTCTAGTGGTTATATCTTTAATATATTAAGAGTCCTCTAGTAAGCACTAGTCTTCTAGTTGGTATTATGTCTATACTGATTTTTAGTTTGGATTGTTTTCTATTTTTTGTTAGATCCGCCTGGATTCCAAAATATTCTAAATCTTTTAAGATAATTTTTTTCCATGTGATTTTAGGTCTATCTTTCTTTTTTTAACGCCGCCGTTATAATATTTTCACATCTAAGCATTTAGAGGCCTACGTAAAACGTGCCTGGATTCTCTATATGCACTACTTGCACATCCTGATGGATGAGATCATTTCTGATTCGCATCTCTGCGACATTCATCTTGTGGATATATTGGGAATTAGAGGCCCATACAAACATTGTTGGTGTTACAATTGTATTGTAAAACTTGCCTTTCACTTTTGTAGGTGTCTTCGCATCACATAACACTCCTCTATTTCAACCATCCTACTTTATTCTTATGTGTTACATAGAACATTAAGCCTAGACATCTAACTGTCTACATTTAGGTACCTCAATTTCAACTATTCTCACCTCAACTTAACTCCTATCTCGCTAGCTAAAACTGCAGTGCATGTATTTTGTCTCAATCCCACTAATCCAAAATACCTACTCTTTAAAAGTGCTTCTCCATAATTCGAGCTTTTGATTTAGACTCTTGCTAGTTTTATCGATTAATACAATATTGTCTGCAAAGAGAATGCACCATGTACCTCGTCATGTTTAGCTCATCCATAACAAGGAAAAATAACTGAACAGACACTGGGGAAAAAAATAAAAGAGTGAAAAAGAAATAACAGT